GTCCAAAGACGCCCGTGCCAGGCCTGAGTAAAGTGCCTATCTGGCCAATCCCTTTTGGGCCCACTTGCTAGCCTAGTGCACAAGGCCGGGACAAGCTCGCTGCGAGCCCACTACAAAGCTGCACACCCTCACTAGACACGGATATAGAATTGCATTCAAACAGATTGATAGGGGGGGGGGAGTGTGGAAATCACCCTCTGTGTTTTGGGGGTGGCTGGGCAAGTTAATACAAACCAGTGGACAGAGAAGGGAGGCCGAACAGAAACTCCAAATTGCAGCATCAGTTTTGGAAAGAGAGAGCTTTGTCATTCTGCCTTGTGCCTCCACAAACTGCCACAAACGTGGACCTTTAGAACAAACAGCTGGCAACAGACCAATGCGCCTTCCTTTGACGGGAGAGGCCGCCCAGCTATTTTAAGCCACAATCCTTCATGCGATTATGTAGAAGCAAATTGAAATTTGCTCTTTCGACCTCCAAAGAAACGATCGAGCTATTTAAGGAGGAAATCTGGTCTACATCAAAGTTAAATCCCAAAATTCAGGATTCCTTCAGTTCTCTGCGTGCGGGCCTTCTCAATTTAACTTGCAACAGAGCTAGGTCGGTTGGTCTCAGTTGCACCCTGCTGCATTTTCAGCAGTTGCCTTATAGCAGCTTCGCAGCACGGTGCATCAACCAAGGCAGACTGCCGCCGGTTTCGGCCAGTTCCGCTACAAGCCCCTGCAGAGCTGGGAAAAGTACAGAGGAGGACCACCAAGATGAGGAGGGGGTTGCAGCATCTTCCCTATGAGGAAAGACGGAAGAGTCTGGGACTTTTCAGTTTAGACGAGAGACGACTAAGAGGGGACATGATGGAGGTTTCTAAAATTATGCATGGAGTGGAGAGAATTGACAAAGAGGATTTTTTTCTCCCTCTCCCAAAAGACTAGAACTCGAGGGCATCCGAATGAAGATGACAGGCAGTAGGTTCAGGACAGACAAAAGGAAATACTACTTTACACAGAGAGTGATTAAAATGTGGAATTCATTGGCAGACGATGTACTGATGGCCACAGGAATAAATAGCTTTAAAAGGGGATTAGATAGATTCATGAAGTCTAAACATGGCACCTAGCCATGGTGGCTGAGGGAAACCTCCACATTCAGAGGCACTAAACCTCTGAATCCCAGAGCCAGGAGGCAACGTCAGGGGAAGGCCTTGGCCTGTATGCCCTGTTGTTGGCCCTCCAGAGGAACTGGCTGTCCACCATGTGAGACAGGAGGCTGGCCTAGATGGACCACTGGTCTGATCCAGTGGGGCTCTTCTGATGTTCTTATGAAGGCCTCGGTCTCTAAGCCCTGTTGTTGGCCCTCCAGAGGAACTGGTTGGCCACTGCGTGAAACAGGATGACGGGCTAGAGGGAACATTGGTCTGATCCAGGAGGGCTCTTCTGATGTTCGTATGCCATACTCATGCATGGCCCTGGGTGTTCATAAGCACTTCATTTCCTTGATGCTTTTGCCTGCATCTGAAAGCTAGTTTCTTTTGTAAGTATTTTATAGTTCAGCCCAAGATAATCCACCACTGTGCTGTTTCCACAAAACAACAGGTTCCTACATGCATATTCATCACTGGATGGCTGACTGCAGCCCCACATGGAGATGCCAAATTTACAACCAGCCTCTGCAGCTATGCCTTTATAACAGCAGCTGCATTAGGAGCAACCAGCAGGTGATATAATGGTTTGCCTCCATGAAATGCAGGTCAAACCACTGACAGAAGCACAGCTACAGAGGCTGGTTGAAAAGTTGGCAACCCTAATATCTAGAGAAGGCTGGCAGGTGTGAATAAGCTGTCACTCCACTAACCTCAGCTTTCAAGGTCCCCGCCCCCCCAGAACAGGTAGTTGACCCATTCAGCTGTGAAATCACTGAGCGGCAGATAAGTGATTGCAAAAATCAAGAGTTGGCAGATAGTAAATATTTGTAAGAACAGGGCCTTAATCAAATGCCCCTTCTATGCCAATGCCAGTCATTCTTTTGCATTTACACACACATATAATTGCTATTACTCATTTATACAGAATATAACATGCTTTTCTAAAAAATAACTCCGTGAGATGGGTCAGTGTGGTTTTAATTTCTTTAAAGAAAATAAAACTGTACATAAGGCCAATGGCTTGAAAGAGGCAGCAGTTAAGCTGCTGAGCTTGGATGAGGGAGATCCGGGTTCAAATCCCCACTCAGGCCATGAAGCTCACTGCTCACAAGTTTTGGGGATCATTCTCAGGGCAGCAGGCTGAAATATCTGGGCTGCCAGCTTACCCCCCACACTGGATGGCTTTTCTTGCAAGACTTGTAGGCGTACTTGCTTGTAATCGCTATTGCATGCATCCATTGGAAATGGGAAGCAATCATTTGGCATGAAACAACTGGGAGTAGTCCATCCTTTCAATCTCATCCATATGACTGGGATGTCACATGTTCACAGATATCACATCATACAATTTGGAATGGTGCAGGGAAGGGCTGCCACTGGCTCAACTACACAGTGCAACAGGACCAGGGTCTTTCCCATGAGCCTCGGGGTTTGAGATGCTGAAGACCTGGCAGCCCTATCTCTGGGTTATCTTGGGCCACTCCTCCTCTCTCAGCCTAACCTACTTCACAGGGGGGTTATAAGAGGGGAAACAAGGATCATGAGCTCCTTCAAGGAATGATGGAATTAAAACATGAAAAATGAGTGAATGGTGTGTAATCTGAATCCAGATTTTCCTAGTTTTGGTATGTTTATAACATGCCCTTTCTCCGGGGAGCTCAAGGCAGTGTGCACTGGTCTCCTTTCCTCCTCCATTTTATTTTCACCACGACCATGTAAGGTAGGCTAGGTTGAGCAAGAATGACTGGTTCCTTCTCTCATGGCTGTTGAACTTCATGGCAAACAGGGATTTGAACCCAGGTCTTCCTAGTTCAAATCTCATCCCTCATATGAACTCAGCAACTGATCTTAAATAAACTGTTGCCTTTCAGCCACACCTCCACCTCTACAATATGGGGTAATAATACTGCTCTACCTTACAGAACTGTTCTAAGGACTAATTATTCAATCTTCTTTATCCCACCTTTTCTCTAAGGACCTGAGTGTAGCATATATGATCATTGCCCCCATTTGACGCTCACAACAACCCTGTGAGGTGGGTAAGGTTGAGACAGAGTGGCCCAAGGTCACATGTTGAGCCTCAGGGAAGAGTAGGGATTTGACCTTAGAACTCTGTTCTAACCATCACACCAGTATTGAGATAATGTATATGAAGTACTTTGAATGCATGAAAGCACTATATCAAATTATTGTAAAGTCATTGTTGACTGGCAAATTACAAAATACATTCTTTGCACTGAGAAAGTCCAAGACTCAACAGCCGATATCTGTTTAAATGTTCTCTAGCTGTAGGACTGGAGAACACCTCTGCCTAATGAGAGTTCCTGCCAGCCACAGTATAGTGAGCATGATGAACTGTTGCACAATCCTATGCAAATTTTCGCAGAAGTAAGTACCACTGAGTTGAAGAGGAATTATTCCATGCAAGTCCTAAAATATGCAATCCTATACATCCCTGTGGGCTACATATGTCCTAGCTCAATAAAAAGGCAGGTGTTTTAAAGAACTGCCACTGCCTCTTGTAGCATCAACATCTAGCGGAGTGAGGATTTCAGCTCAGACTTCACCAAGCCTAGTCTGACAGTGCACTTCATTTAAGTATATTCGCTACATGCAAAATGATCCATCCCTTCAGCCATTCCATCACTATGGCCAACTCTGAAACAACTTTTAAAACTTCTTTTGGCAAAGGGACCACAGCCCCTCTGCTAATGTCTCACTGGAAATTTTTTGCTTTGCTCCGTTCATAACGGGCTCCTGGGGTCATGAAGGCTCCGATTCCACCTGCCAATCCACACCTCCCAGGTGTCTCTGAGCACCTCCTTCTGTGCTTCCTGTTTCAGACCCAGCCTAACGATCAGACTTGTAAAAGGAGCTTTGTACAAAATCCTGTCTCTCCACACACACACTTTGCAATGTTTATTTGCTTTTTAATGAACTGCATTCCACGGCTTCTGAAAACAGCATGCAGAATGTTTAGCGGTGGCTCAAGCTGCCTCAAGAGAATGACTGGAAAGATGGGATACAAACATCTTAAATAAATCAAGTGAACAGGTATCAGAGAAAGGAATTTGTCAGGACAGTCCTTCCTGGGGAGATTGATTTACAGCTGCTTGAGCTGGATCTCTCACAACCCACTCGGCTGCAACCAATGCTCCCTCTAAGCTGTGGAGTCTTGTGAGCAAAAATTCTACTTTGTGAGCTACTGGCATTAAAGTTGTGAGCGAGCTATCTGGCTGCTGCATGAATTAGTTTGCTTAGGAGCCATCCTTCCTGAGCTAAGACAGAAATGTGTGAGCTGGAGGTTGAAAAACTGTGAGCTAGCTCACACTAACTCAGCTTAGAGGGAACACTGGCTGCAACTAGTAGATCTCACATCCCACTTGCAGCAGGTGGAATCCCAGAGATCAGGCTACCAGCACGCACTTGCAAGGGGTACCAAGCCTGGGATACCTCCTGACAAACGGACGGATTTCAGAGTGTGGCAGGAGACACCCTCCCCCCTCAGCAGGTCGCTCAGCCTGCTTAGATCAGTCCCAGCACCCTTGCAACAAATGGATTCCAAGAGCCCCGGGGGGGGGGGGCGGTCAGTGCCCTCCCGTCGCAACAGGTGAATCCCCGTGTTGAGGTTCCAGAGCACATTTTCGGCCGATTCCAAGGCGGTCGTGTTGGCGGGGACGGTCAATGCACCTTTGCAAGGGGCGGGTCCCAGGACTGAGGTATCAATCACCCCCCCCCCCCCCCCCCCGAAGAGCGCAGCAGGGTGGATCTTGCTGGATTCCAGCTCGCAGCAACGATCGCTTGCCTTCCCGCACACCACAGATGCCGTGTCGGTTCCCTCCGTCCCCCGCATCAGTCACTCACCTGGCTGCCCTGCTCCCTGGCCGAGAAGGAAAGTGTCCGGGTTGGACTTGGTTCCGGTTCCGGGAGGAGAGGGGGAGTCCCTAGTTTCCACCGGGGTCCGCTCCCCCCTTCGCTCTCGCTCTCTCTCCCTCTCACAGCGGCATCGGCGGCACCAGCATCGGCAGCCGCTGTCAACAAATCAAGACGTCATTTCCGGCAGCCGGCCTCCCTGCGAGACTCACGGAACCAGAGGCGTCCTCCGTTCCCCCGGGAAACAAGGGCTGCGACGCGAGAGTTCCGGGGTCTGGGCAAGCCTCTTCCTCCCCTCGCCCGCCCCAGCAGCAGTGGTGGTGACGCTCCTGCTCACCCCCGGGGAGAGGAAAGAAGGAAAGCGAATAAATATGACGCAGATCTCTTCAGTACCTCAGATGGGCTACTTTGTATTTTACAAAAAAAAAGAAGACAAAAATGCTTTAGGCCCTGGTTTCAAAGCAGTTAGGAGGAATTCTTTTAAAAAGGTAACGCTAAAGTGCAGGCAAATGGCTAATCATGTTTAAACTTCCCATATATCAGAGACTGCGGTGGCTCAAGTGGTTAAGACGCTGAACTGCAGGCTGTGGAAGGTCGGTAGTTCAG